TATTTATCCCCGGAACGTGATTGGACTAGTTTTGAGAAGCAATTGGGCAGATTTTGTTCTGAAAACCTGGCAACCCTGTTCGTATCACACTTGTTTTTGTTATATTCTCTTTTCAATTGCGCGGTGAATACCTGGCCAACCAATAAGAGTCACGCTTTTTGGTCATGTGCCAGTTTCAGGTTTTCACTCCCACAACTTTGCAGTGCACTCTCAGAAAAAAGGTACAAAAGCTGTCACTGGGCCGGTAACTTTTCAAAAAGTACTAATATGTATCATTTAAGCACTAATATGTACCTTAAGGTGCTTAAATATGTACCCTTTAGGGTGTACCATGTGTACCTTTTTTCTGGAAGTGTGTGTACATGGCCAGTAAGAGGTTTGCAACAGAGAATGGACACACTGAACATATTTGCAAACTCGTGTTCAAGTTTAATTGATGAGTAAATGTTAGTGGATGTCAGAAGAAAAGAGAGTTTGCCTAGGGCACTAGTTCATCATGTGGGCATCGAGCAACTCCGCACAGTAGAGGAGCGCGAAAGGTTTGGGCTGAAAGCACAGGAGACAAACAAGGTCAAGAGGACGGAAGAATGATATGAATACCTTTAAAACATCTCTCTTCTTAACCACTGCATTAATGACTGAGAGGGTAACGGGTTGTCTCACGCAGTAACTACCAGCCGAGGTCAGCGCATTGCCTTGGGTGCGCACCCGTGCTGCAGAAGTGGTTGTGAGATGTGAGAAGAAAAAAAAAGTTCATCGAAGGTTTGGCAACAAGGACAGTCAGACGAGAACTTCCGAGAGAAAAAGCTGAAATGTCAGAGCGACAGCACTCTAAATAGACTGAGAATGAGGTAAAGACAGAAGATAATGACTGCTCTCTGTCTACAGTTTCTTGTCATTTTGCTCCCAGCAAGAGTCAGAAAATGTAGCAATGTTGTTGTTGTTTTTTCCTCTCATTTTCTCACTCTGCAACAGTCTACTCTTTAGAGATGCATGACTCATATACCAATGCTTTTTATCCGTTTTAAAAGAGATCACAGGTTTGTGCCTCAGCAAACAATTTAAACACTTCTTGGTGGTGTAAAGCACCCACTTCTGGACACGCTTGAAATTGAATATTATAGGTGTACCATAGTGATTCAGGACAAGTCAAAAACACGGTTTGGAAAATGTATTCATGGTGTACTCGCTTATTATATACATTTTGTTAATTTTGAACACAAAAAAGTTACGGACTGCAGCTTTAAGAATATAATATTGCTCTGTTTACAAAATGAGAATATAAAAAAACATTGTACTTTAAAATATTTGGAAGTGTTTTTTCCTTTTACTCAAATATAATACATACTGTACTAAAATACAGAACTAATTGTTTTCGCTAACTTCAAAACAAGAATAAGATGTAGCTTGCAAATTATATTTTAATGCAACGTTATGATGAAAATCTCTTTATAAAGTCAGCTTGAATTAATGATAACACAAAAAGAATAATTAAACATTCTGTTTTAGAACACCTGAGTACTGTAACCCTTTGATTCCGTTGGCCTTCCTGCTTCTACAGCCAACCATTGGAGGAGAATTTGACTCGAAGCTGCTCTAAATCTGCCTTTGATAAAGGTTGCAGCGGGGACCGGCACACACCGCCGTGATATCCAAACCACTCCATTGCTTGTTTCAAAGCGGGAACACCATACTGCTGCGTTACCTATAAAAAAGTGGGGGAGGGACACTGCAATTTAATGAATAGAGTCGAAATCAATCATAGATTCTCTTTTACACAAGGTCAAAGGCATCATTTAGAGTATTCACCCTGATCAAACCTTTTAGGATCAGCCAGTTATGTTTATCTTTTTTTCAAAAGCTTATTTACAACATATTGTAAATCTTTCTCATGGCCTTTGAAGCAAAGCTCATGTTCGGCAGCTCTTGGGGGAAGGGTTGCTTCCAATGTTTATCATGCCTATATAGCAGCAAATGTATCTGTGGTATAAATGTGTGGCGTTGCCATGGTGATGTGATGCTCACTGCTGTGTTGGGTTCGATGAGGCGATATTGGAGCTCTCTGGCCTCGTCCCAGCGTCCTGAAACACACAGCTGCGCTAGATCACACACCTGCTGACCCAGGACATTTGCGAGGGCGCACACGCCTCCCACGGCCCCTATAACAAACAGAGTATAATCGGCTCTTAAAGGAATAGTTCACCCAAAAATTTGGCTGAAAATGTATTCACCCTCAGGCCATCCAAGATGTAGAGTTTGTTTCTTCATCAGATTTGGAGAAATGTAGCATTGCATCACTTGCTCACCAATGGATGCTCTGCAGTGAATGGGTGCCGTCAGAATGAGAGTCCAAACAGCTGATAAAAACATCACAATAATCCACAAATAATCCACACCACTCCAGTCCATCACTTAACATCTTGAGAAGTGAAACGCTGCATGTTTGTAAGAAACAAATCCATTATATTAAGACGTTTTTAACTTTAACCCTTTGCTGCACAAGCTATGAAAACCCCTTCTAATGCACAACATGGGTCTAAAATGACCCGTATGTTATTTCATACTTCGCTCGGCATTTTTTTGTTTTATCTTTTGAAATTGGTTTATTTCAGCATTTAATATTCTCTGATCTATAAATATCTTTTTACATTGACCACAAATTAATATTTTATTTTTTTCCCCTAGGTTTTGTGTTACTACATCAAGTTTACACACATGGGTCAAAAATGACCCATCTATGTAAGCATAAAACAAAACAAAAGAATAAAGACATTGTTAAAATAATTATTTTAGCAGTTATTTAGTTATTATGATAACATTGAAATTGAACTGTCTGTAGTGCAACTGTAGTGAATAGATGCAAATAAAACTAACAAAATAAAATCACACAGGTACAGCGCTATCTCAAATTGCCATCTCAGTGCTTACATGCCTCACAAATGACAACTACAGGTTTGTGCTCCTTGCACACAGGCCTGACACAGAACACCTGCTGATGACTTCTAGTAACCATTGATTAGCTAGTTCAGGTGTGTTTGATTAGGGTTGGAGCTGAACTCTGCTGGTGGCTCTTCAGGACCGAGGTTGGCCACCCCAACAAGCTAGTTAATAATATTGGACATGTTTCTCTGTCTCACTAGTAATAGATTTCAAGGTCAAGATAATCTTAGTCTAACATTCAAATATTATATAGTTATCTTCCACAATATATTAAATATTTTTTGTGGTACTAAATTATAAAATAAGACTAAATGCATAAATTATACAAAAGCAGCCATGTAGAGTTGTGAAATGTGGGGCAGGTGAAAATTTTTCTGCAGTAAATATGTTCCTACTTGCAAGAATATCAGCAAATATCAAAGGTTTCTATATGGGTCATTTTTGACCCATGTGTGTAAAATTGTTGAAGAAATACAAAAAAAAAAAGTATAAAGTGAAGAAAGAAAAAATAAACAATGATTTGTGGAAATCAAAAACAAGATATTTAATGAATACCTGGAATAATAAATGATACAATGCATTTCTTTCAAAGATTCAGCAAAGAATCACTCAGGCATGATTGAAATAACATAGAAAATGAATACCCATGTGTGTAAAACTGATGTAGAAATACAAAAACTGTGTTTGTTTATAAAGTAAGGAAAGAAAAAAATAAACAAAATGATTTGTGGAAGTCAAAAACAACCTATTTAAAGACTATCTGGAATAATAAATGATAGAAAAAGATTTATTTCAGAGATTCAGCAAAGAAACACTCATCCATAACTGAAATAACATAGGAAATGAAAAGTGACGTGACATGTGGCCAAGTATGGTGATCCATACTCGGAATTAGTGCTCTGCATTTATCCCATCCAAAGTGCACACACACAGCAGTGAACACACACATAGCAGTGAACACACACGCAGTGGGCAGCCATTTATGCTGCGGCGCCCGGGGAGCAGTTGGGGGTTCAGTGCCTTGCTCAAGGGCACCTCAGTCATGGTATTGAAGGTGGGAGAGAGCGCTGTACATTCACTCCCCCCACCTACAATCCCTGCCGGTACGAGACTCGAACCCGCAACCTTTGAGTTACGAGTCCAACTCGACTTCCCTACATATACGGGTATTTAGACCCATGTTGTGCATTAGAAGAGTAGTGACACAAAAATGAGTTTTATTCAAAAAAGAAAGAAAAATAAGGATTTGTGATGATCAAAAACAAGTTAATTTACGGAATTCCTGGAATTCTGAATGATGAAATTAATTTCTTGCAAAGATATAGAAAAAATAAACTCAGTCGGGTCACTTTAGACCAGGGGTGCCCAAACTCGGTCCTGGAGGGCCAATGTCCTGCAGAGTTTAGCTCCAACCCCAATTAAACACACCTGAACCATCTAATCAAGCTCTTATAGGCATACTAGAAACCAGCAGGTGTGTTCAGGCAAGTTGGAGCTAAACTCTGCAGGACACCGGCCATCCAGGACCGAGTTTGGGCACCCCTGCTTTAGACCCATGATGTGCATCAAAGGGTTAAACTGTCCATAATCAATGATATTGTTTCCTCCAGTGAAAAAGTCCATCTCCTGTTGTCTCACACCAAAATCCACCCACATTTTTGTTTAGAGCTGTTTTGGACTGTTTTCACTTGCAAACAGTGTTTGATTTGTGCATATTTCTCTCCTGATTCAGACTAGACCATGTTTTCAATGAAGAAGGTGCTATTTCAGTTGGAAGCAATGGTTTGAAGCCAAAAGCTGCATGTTTGTAAGAAACAAATCCATCATTAAGACTTTTTGTCAAAATTCAAATCCATAATCCATAATTGCGATAGCGTTTTAGTGCTATTTTACAAAATAAAAAAAGTTAAGATTATGAGATTAAAGTCGGAATATTTTGAGAAAAAAAGTTAAAATGACAGGAATACAGCCATAGCAATACAAGAATAAAGTCTGAATATTTTGAGAAAAAAAGTTAAAATTACAGGAATAAAGTCCTAGCAATACAAGAATAAAGCCAAAATATTTTGAGAAAAAAGTTAAAATTATGGGAATAAAGTCCTAGCAATACAAGAATAAAGTCGGAATATTTTTAGAAAAAAAGTTAAAATTACGGGAATAAAGTCCTAGCAATACAAGAATAAAGTCGGAATATTTTTAGAAAAAAAGTTAAAATTACGGGAATAAAGTCCTAGCAATACAAGAATAAAGTCGGAATATTTTTAGAAAAAAAGTTACAATTACAGGAATAAAGTCCTAGCAATACAAGAATAAAGTTGGAATATTTTGAGAAAAAAAGTTAAAATTACGGGAATAAAGTCATAGCAATACAGGAATAAAGGCGAAATATTTTGAGAAAAAAAGTTAAAATTACGGGAATAAAGTCCTAGCAATAAAAGAATAAAGTCGGAATATTTTGAAAAAAAAAAGTTACAATTACAGGAATAAAGTCCTAGCAATACAAGAATAAAGTCGGAATATTTTTAGAAAAAAAGTTACAATTACAGGAATAAAGTCCTAGCAATACAAGCATAAAGTTGGAATATTTTGAGAAAAAAAGTTAAAATTACGGGAATAAAGTCCTAGCAATACAACAATAAAGTCGGAATATTTTGAAAAAAAAAAAAGTAAAAATTACGGGAATAAAGTCCTAGCAATACAA